CTTTCAAGAAAGTGAGGCTGCACAGGAGGCACTCACTCATCTATGCCAAGAAATTTGGAAGCCAACTATCTGGCCGACTGATTGGAAGAAATCCATATTTGTGCCCATTCCAGAGAAAGATGACCCAATGGATTATGGAAATCATCGGACAATCTCTTTGATATCTCAAGTGAGTAAAGTTTTGCTAAAGGTAAACAGAAATGGCTACAATCATACATTGACAGAGAACTTCCAGAGGTTCAAGCTGGATTCAGAAGAGGCCATGAAATGAGGGATATCACTGCTCATGCCGGATGGATCTTAGCTGAAAGCAGAGAATATCAGAAAGATGTTTACCTGTGCTTTATTGACTACGCAAAGGCTTGGATTGTATGGATCATGACAAGCTATGGACAAACATTGCGAAGTATGAGTATTCCTGAACACTTAATTGTGATCATGAGGATTCTGTACCTGGGCCAAAACACAGCTGTTCAAACAGAACATGGGAACACTGAATGGTTTAAAATTTAAAAAGGTGTGCAACAAGGTTGTATTCTTTCACCATACTTATTCAACCTGTATGCTGAGCAAATAATCTGAGAAGCTGGGTTCTATGAAGAAAAATGTGGCATCAAGATTGGAGGAAGACTCATTACCAATCTGTGATATGCAGATGATACAACCTTGCTTGCTGAAGATCAAAGAGCCCAGCCTTTGGTATGGATTACATCTCAATGTAAAGAAAACAAAATCCTCACCACTGGACCAATAAACAACACACTTATCAACAGAGAAAAGATTGAAGTTGTCAAGGACTTCATTCTTCTTGGATCTACTATTAACACCCACGGAAGCAGCAGTCAAGAAATCAAACGACATATTGCTTTAGGCAAATCTGTTGCACAAGAACTTTTTAAAGTGTTGAAGAGCAAAGATGTCAGCTTGAGCACTAAGGAATGCCTGACCCAAGCCATGGTATTTTCAATAACCTCATATGCATGCGTAAACTGGACAGTGAATAAGGAAGACCATAGAAGAATTGATGCTTTTGAGTTATGGTGTTGGAGGAGAATATTGAAAGTGCCATGGATTGCCAAAAAAACCCAACAGATCCGTGTTAGAAGAAGTGCAGCCAGAATGCTCCTTGGAGGCCAAGATGGCCAAACTTCGTCTCTCATACTTCGGACATATTGTCAGGAGGGACTAGTCACTGGAAAAGGATATCATGTTTGGTAAGGTGGAGGGTTAGAGAAAAAGAGGAAGACCCCCCACCCCCACCCCAAAGAGATGGATTAGCCAAGTGGCAGCATCGATGGACTCAAGCGTGTCAACAGTAGTGAGGTTGGCCCAGGATCGGGTAGTGTTTCGTTCTGCTGTGCATAAGGTCTCTGTGGCTTGGTTCCAACTCTATAGCACCTAACAACAATAACAATATGTTTTAAAATGAACTATGGTGATGAATACAGAGCACTGTAATTATAGTGAAGACCATTGAATTGAATAATTAAAATGAGTGTTTGCTATTGAGTTATATGGCATTAAAGCAGTTAAAATTAAACCTTATAGACTTTAATTTATTAAATGCAATGTATTTGTGGTGTGGCACTGTTGATCAGCACTGGACTGGAAACCACAAGATCAGCAGTTCAAAACCACCATCTGCTCCTCTGAAACCGTATGCAGGGTCACTATGAGTCAGAACCAACTCAATCAATAGCACTTAACAACAAAAACAACAATTCAAAATAAGAGCATGAGTAATGAATAGTGTTTTATATAGAGAGAACAAATACATATCTAGTGAACACCTTTATTTCTGATCATCTCTTTTTAATAAAAATGTTTAAAACTATATATGGGATAATATGTTAAGTTAATTACCGTAGGGGTGCTGTATTCCAATACTGGGCTAAGAATGTTTTCTAAATAACTAGATTTTTCTATCCATGTATTCAAATTTCTATATTCTTTTTTCATTTTTTCCAACCTGAAGAAAGGAAAGAAAACATATAGATTAAAAAAAAAGAGGCAGCAAATGACAGAAGAATCACTATGATAAAATTTATAGAAGAATATATACAGTTACATTTATAAATACTTGAAAAAGAAGTAAACAAATATATTGTTTAGAGATACTGTCAAAGAAAAGGGAATTATTACAACAAAAATCAGGGTGGTAGTTATTTGAGAGAGTAGGAGAGAGGAATGTAACCAAGTAAGAAGAAAATATTCCTGATATTGTTGAATTTGCTTAACCTGAATCATAAATAGCTAAGCAATGACCTTATGTTCCTCACGTAAATAATAGTTACATGTTTTAGAAATGTTTCAATATATATTGTTCTTATTTTAACTGTATATATGTTTTATATATTATTCCATAAATATGCATTATCTTTTTAATAAAACAAATTTAATCCAAGAAACTTTAAAAGACTTGATTTATCTAAAAAAATATAATGACAAGAATTGAATGGAAACTAAACATTTTAAGTGAACTCACCATGAATAAGGGACATAAGTGACTCCTAGTATGGTGCTGAGAACCACACAGTTGGAAGTTCAAACCCACCAGCTGCTCCTAGGAAACCCTATATAGGGTAGCTATGAGTTGAAATTGACTTAACAGCATTTAATAACAACAACAGGGTACATAATACAAGGGTGAGTCAAAAATTACCTGCAGTCTGGTTATATTAAAATGCCTGTCCACGTAAATGATTAATGACAACACTGAGCGTGCACGTGACATGATTCTGTCGAATAGATGAGTGACAGTGGAGTATGTGGCAAATCATTTACAAATCACTCATGGCTCTGCCTATGACATAATCCATGACAGACTTGGGTTTTAAAACGTTTATGCAAGATGGGTACCAAAACCTCTCATGAAAGAGCAGAAGTATTTGGACGTCTGCAAACAAAATTTGGACCGATTCTTGAAGGAAGCAAAAATTTCTTTAAAAAAATTTGTTACTGTTGATGAGACATGGATTCATCACTATGAGCCTGAGGGTTTTTGACAGAGTATGAAATGAAAACATCCTCAATTTCTGACCAAGAATAAACTCAAAATTCAACCATCAGCTGGGAAATCGATGCATACAGTTTTCTGGGATTCTCAAGGGCCAGTTTTGGAACACTATCAGGAAAAAGGCTCAACAATCAACAGTGCTTCTTACAGTGAGATGCTTACTGCAGAGCTGAAGCCTAAACTTTGGATTAAATGAAGAGGACTGCTTGCCAAGGGCCTTGTGATCTTATATGACAATGAACATCCAAACACCCTGGCCCACAATGTTGACACTCTGCAAAAACTTTCTTTTGAGGTGTTAAAGCATCCTTTCTATAGTCCTGATCTTGCTCCATCAGGTTTTCACCTGTTTGGTCCCCTGAAAGCAGCCTTTGGGGGATGAAGATTCAACTCTGATGAAAAAGTGAAAACAGTGGTACATTTGTGGCTCATAGTTCAGCTTAAAACAATTTTAAATAAGGGAATATAAAAGCTTGTTTATAGATGGACAAAGTATATTGAAAATCAAGGAGATTATGTTTAAAAAATTATGTATTTGTCATTTTTAAAAGCTGATTAAAGTAAATTCTAAAGCCAGATTATGGATAATTTTTTACTCAATCTTGTAAAAGGTATTGTTTTTCTATTACTACACCATCTCCTCACTTAGCAACACTCTCATTATTCAACATGTCTCATCTATGACAATAGTGAAAAATCCATTTGACTAGTTTGTACCATTTGTGGGGTGTTAATCTCTAGGAAACTGGACCTTGCTACCAGATGCTTTATGCTCCCTCCTCCTAAAAGGGCCACCACATCCAGCTGCTGCACAGGGCCAGCCTCCTCCATGGCCATGGCCTCCAGATGGACACACAGGCAGCACCAAACCAGCAGGCACCTGCTCTGGATTTCCAGCTCTCATGAACCTTTCGATCCTAAAGCTCAAAATTGCTGAAGCACTGGAGAGGGTGTTTAGAATAAATGTGTGTGAGTTTAATAACATCCCAAAGTGAACAAAGTGGAGCCCGAGGCTCCCACATCAGTGGGCTCAGATGTGCAGCCAGGAACCCAGCACCCTGGCAGGAAGTTTGAGCTCCTGTGACATGCACAGCCTGGAGGGCAGAGCAGGCTCCAGGATCATGAATGCAGGGCTTACAGGAACGAAGGTGGAGAGCTAGAGGTGGATCTGCAATAGATGTTCTGACCCAGCACAGGAGGAGCTCACACAACCCAACATTATATAACGTTGTCTCTTCCAAGTTTCCTCCTCCACAGAGGAATAATCTGTAACTAGAATCATCACATTATTAAATCTTAGCTGTTATTCTTATGATTTTTCTAAATAAACTTTGGATAAATGCATGGGCTGAGAACAGAAAAAAAATCCTCTACTTTTGCATAATCTCAGTTTTCACAAAATGACCTGGCTTTTGGAACTTAACCATGTCAGTAAGTGAGGAGTGGATGCCTATCTGACATTTCTCATTTACAGTAGTAAAAAGTCTACTATGCAACTGTTTTGTAATTTGGCAGTTTGGGCTGCTAACCTCAGGGTGGAGAGATGGAGCGACTGGGGACTTTAGACCCAGAAAGGAAGAGGGGCAGTGTGCTGACGGCCGGAGGGCAGGCCTGCGTTGTGTGTTGGTTGATGATGCATGGAGGGGATTGTAATCATGGCAATGAAACGAAATACGATAGGATGAATGTAAGGCTGGTGTTCTCCTATGTAAACTATCACATAATTCACAATAAAAACTTAAAAAAAAAAAATTACTTCAACAGTACATTAACAGAGAACTGTCAGACATTCAAGCCAGATTGAGAAGAGGACATGGAACTAGGAATAGCACTACTGACATCAGATGAACCTAGGCTGAAAGCAGAACTTACCAGAAAAATGCTTGTTGTTGTCAAGTGCTGTCTAGTTGATTCCAACTCATAGTGACCCTGTATAAGCTTTCCAACGAGTGGCTGGTGGACTTGAACCACCGATCTTGCAGTTCAGACTGATATTGTGGTCTAGTGCTTATCCTACATTGTCACACCAGGACTTCTATGTTTAGTTGTGCTTTATTGACTGTGAAAAGACTTTTTTTTTTTTTTTTAATGAAACGAATTTCATTGCTATGATTACAGTCCCCTCCATTCATCATCAAACAACCAAAGGGTATACCCCTCAAGCCTGCCCCTGGTTGTCAGTACACAACCCCTCTCTCTCTCTCTCTGGGTCTAAAGTCCCCAGCTGCTCCATCTCTGGTGTCACTGCTTCTCTGGGTAGGGTCCCGCACTCTGCTCTTCTCACTTGATGGTCCCAGTAACCTCCACTTCTGTACTGCAAAGTCAGTCACTCCCCTCTTTTTGTTACAAAACATCTACCTTTACATTTCCAACCCTCACAGTCAGTCCTGATAGCAGTTATTCACTATTGTACCACAAGAGTCTTATCCCCATCTCCCTTCATCAGTGGAGATTCTACCGTGCCCTCTGGAACTAGGCTCCCTCTTGAAAGCTTGTAAGCGAGTCACTTCTTGCCTTTGTAGCCCCCCCATTTTGGGTAGCCAATGTCCAAGTTGCCCATCCCTGTCTACCCTGTGTACTGAGGGGGTGGAAATGATCCTCATTGTAAAGATGTGTTCCCTCTTTTGAGCTACTGCGTCCATGGAATAGGAGCTTGCTCCGTCCACTCCACTCATCGAAGGAGCTCTGGTAGCGTAGTGGTTACGAATCGGGCTGCGAACCTTAAGGTCAGCGGTTCGAAACTACCAGCCGCTCCGCGGGAGAAAGATGAGGCTTTCTACTCCCGTAAAGATTTACACCCTCGGAAACCCTGTACAGGGTCGCTATGGGTCGGACCCGACTCGATGGCACTTAACAACAACAACAACATCCATAGGTGTAGGTCAAGGAGTCCCTACATCTTGTCATACTGCTGGCCAACCAGGTCACCACCTGGATTCACAGGTGTCTATTGAACATGGTAGGACTTAGCTCACAGCTTCGTTGTTGTTTTTCCCTAGCTTCCCCTTATCGGTGATCATGTGCAAAGACATTTGACTGTGTGGATCATGACAAGCTATGGATAACATTGCGAAGAATGAGTATTCCAGAACATTATTTAAAAGTGCTTATGAGGAACCTGTACATAGAAAAGAAGCAGTCATTATAACAGATCAAGGAGATACTAAATGGTTTAAAATCAGGAGACATGTGTCCCAGCATTGTATCCATTCACCATACAACTTGCACATAGATTAAGAGGCAGTCGTTTGAACAGAACAAGTGGATACTGAGTGGTTCAAAATTAGGAAAGGTATGAGTCAGGGTTGTATCCTTTCACCACATTTGTTCAATCTGTATGTTAAGCAAACAATCCGAGAAGGTTTTATATGAAGAAGAACATGGCATTAGGATTAGAGGAAGACTCATTAACAACCTGTGATATTCAAATGACACAACCTTGTTTTCTAGAAGAAAAGTGGACTTGAAATACTTACTAATGAGGATCAAAGTTTACAGCCTTTAGTACTGATTGTACCTCAGTGTAAAACAAAAACAAAAATCCTCACAACTGGATCGATAAATGGCATCATGATAAATGGAAAAGAGATTGAAGTTGTCAAAGACTTCATTTGCCTAATGCAATACATTTTTAATTTCTTGACTGCCACCCTCATGGAAGGGGAAGTCAAGAAATTAAAGATGTATTGCATTGGGCAAATCTGCTACCAAAAAAAAAAAAGCATCTTCAAAGTGTTAAAGAGTAAAGATGTCAGTTTGAGGATTAACATGTGCCTGACCCAACCCATGGTATTTTCAATCACCTCATATGTATGTGAAAATTGGGACAAACAATAAGAAGACCATAGAGGAATCGATGCATTTGAATCATGATGTTGGCAAAGAATATTTGAAAACACCTTAAACTGTCAGAAGAGCAAATAAATCTGTTTTGGAAGAAGTATGTTCCTTAGAAGTGAGGATGCCTGAATGCTCCTTAGAAGCCAGGATGGCCAGACTTCATCTCTCATACTTTGCACATACTCTCAGTAAGAACAGTCCCTGGAGAAGGATATCATGCTAAAGTGGAGGGTCAGTGAAAAAGAGGAAGACCCTCAACAAAATGGATTGACACAGTGACAGCTACAAAGGACTCAAACATCACAACCATTGTGCATTGTGAGAACGGTACAGTGATTCATTCTGCTGTGCACAGATTGCTATAAGCCAGAACTGATGGGATGACACCTAACAACAACAACATCCGAGTAGTAGCTTATCAGAGTGGGTCTGTGTGGTCTATGTGAATTTCATCTTGTGGGTGTCCTCAAATGGTCACCTTGACCTCTATTCTTCCTTGGAGCCAAAGGTTTTTGAATGAATGTTCCATTCTGAAGATTTTATACAGTCCTTTGTTTTTTCTTTCCCTTTGATACAGTATTGTTCTTTCTTCTCTATAAATGATTTTTCAACAATTTTTCTGCCATACAGCTGACCTTTTAAAACAAACACCTAAATATGACAAGCAATAGTCAGAAACAATCTCTGAACCCATGAAATATCGTGACAGTGAAGGTTTATGGACCAACAGCAAGCCCATGTGTAAAGGAAAGAATTGATATATAGTATAAATAACACATGAATTTTATGAAAGCTTCTGTATTTTTCACCTTTCTCGGGGTGGTTGCTGAAGTTTTTCAAGTCGTATAACAGATGGCTGGGTATATTTACTTGACTTTCCAACAGTAACATTCAGGTCTGGGGATAAGAATGCTGGATATTCTAATGGCTGTGGTAAAATAACATTTCTGCAAAATAATAATAGGGTTAAATGTTGAAGAAGTACACGAAAGTACACTTCTAATATCAGTGGTGAATCCTCTCATTTATACTCTTAGCTCATCTATCCTTCTTGGGTCTTTGAAGGCTAGAACTAGGACAGAAGACGACAGCAGAAATTCTGAGAGAAGCGTTCTCTTGACTCCACTTGTTACTAACTTCATGAGCAGCAAAGATCTCCTAAGTAGTTCATCTTTTTATGCTACTAATTCTTTGTGATGTTTTGTGTTCCAGGCATTTTGTCCATATGACTATATATATTATCTCATTCAATTAGGGGGTCATAATTGTCATATACTAAAGGAGCTCTGGTAGTGTACTGCGGGAGAAAGATGAGGCTTTCTGCTCCCATAAAGATTTGCAGCTGTGGAAACCCTGTGCAGGGTCACTATGAGTCGGAACTGACTCCATAGCACATAACCACTATAATCAACAACCACTATTTTACATATGAGAAAACTGGAGTTCAAAGAGATTAAGCAACTACTCCAAAAACTTAAAACTGTTAAATGGCAAAGTCAATATTTGAACACAAATCTCTTTTGATTCTAAAGCTCATGTTCAATAGAAGTCATCATTTCTGCATTATTCCCCCATTCCACAATTAGCATCCCTAAATACTCATATATACCCATGATTTATAATCAGAATATCTTTTTCTCCTTTCTTTCCCCTTTCTCTCATCTTCCAAGAGACATAATTAGGCATTATGCAGGTAATATAACTGGACACTCAAAATATGCCACAAATTAATTTTCTCCTCTCTACCTCCACTAACTTACTGCCTTACTTCAAACCCCCATCATCTGTCATCTAGACTAATACAACAGCTTCTCCAATGCTTGGCCTCTAATCCCAAATCCCTCCTGTCCATATTTGATCCCCCTCATAAAATCTATGTAAAATGCAAGCTGATCAGACTATTTCTCCACTTAAAATTATTCAATGGCTTTAGATCTACGCAGTAGCCCCACACTTTCCAACAAAGAGCAGTGGAGGAATCTAGAGGATCTGGGGCTGCTAACGAAACCCAACACATCATTTTTTTGGAAACATTGCATTATTTTAAAATGTTTATGTGCCTTTTATTGTACTCCATAACATGTAGACATTATTTTCAGTATAGCATTTCCCTCAGAAAAGCTTTGAGTAAAAGCAATGCTCCAGAAAGATGGACCTGTTTCCCCTTGACTTTGTGTTGGCCTGGCATACTCCTGATGACCCAGAAGAGTAAAATTTACTCACATTTGAGAAGCATGAATTTAGAATATGATGGTAGTGATGATAAAGTATTTATTCATTTTATAAATAGTAGTAATTTATTAAGAAGATTATTATTTATTACCATTTTCTCAGTGTTTTGCAGGTAGCTTATTTAATCATCAGTAACTCAGTGAAGTACTTATTATATTTATATAAGAGCCTAAGTAACTTTTAAGGTCTCACAGCTGGTACATGGCAAAGCCAGGGTGTAAGTCCAGGCAGTTTTAACTCAAGAGCTTGAGCTTTTAACCACCATTATCTTGCCTCTAACCTACTCCTCATGCTGAACCCTTCTTACTCCTTGCCCTTAGCCATTCACAACCTACAGTCTCTCTCTTAAAGCTTCTTGCTTTTGTATATGCGTTCTCTGCTGGGAATGTGTCCCCTTACTCCTTTAAAATCAGCCGATAAACTTCTACTCATTTATGAAGTCTCACCTAAACACTTTTTTTGTCAAACCTTAATTGATAGTACTTTGTTCCCAATTTTTCCCTGAGATGCATTAAAATTTCCTTGGCTTTTAGTTCTTGGAGACCTAATATCATTTATCTTTGTATTTGCAATGCCTTGGGGGTAAGCTGACATTTAACACTTTAATGCTTATTGACTCAGTGGATGGATGAGAAAATAATAGTTAATATATATTGTTTAATAAACTTCTATTTCACTATTTCAACAAGTCACTAATATCAAATGGACAAAGCTTTAAAAAAAAATCAGTTTAGTGAAAGCAGAGAGTCATAAACACTTCAGATAATTTTTATCCTATACCTAATTATTTCAATGGTATTTAGAAATTTCCCCATTTCTTTTCTTTCTTTCTTTGATAACAGTATAGATTAAATAGGAGTCCTGGTGTGGTGCTGTGAGCTAATGCTGTGGACTGCAAAGTTGATTTGAACCACAAGATCGGCAGTTCAAGTTCACCAGCCATTCCTGGGAAACCCTATACAAGGTCGCTGTGGTTTGGAACCAAGTCGACGGCACTTAACAGCAGCAACAACATTTAAATAAGGAAGACCTGAGAAGAATTGATGAATTTGAGTTATGGCTTTAGAGAATCTTAAAAGCACCATGGACTGCCAAAAGAACAAAAAAAAAATCTGTGTTGTGAAGTGCAGCCAGAATGTGCCTTGGAAGCCAGCATGGCTAGACTTTGTCTCGCATACTTCAGACATATTATCCGAAGGGACCAGTCTCTGGAGAAGGACATCGTGCTTGGTAAAGTGGAGGGTCAGTAAAAAAGAAGACATCCAACGTGATGGATTGGCACAGTGGTAGCAGCTCTGGGCTCAAGTGTAGCAACGATTGTTAAAATTGGAGCAAGACCGAGCAGTGTTTCGTTCTGTTGTGTACAGGGTTGCTATGAATCGGTACTGGCTCAATGGCATCTAGCAACAACATAACTCTTTCTCAGGCGTTCATTTTTCTTTAAGATTTGTTGGCCTACTCAATTTTAAGTTATTTTTGGTTTGCCAATGATATTTTAACCATGCTTTTAGAGTGGTGGAGCAGTAGGAATGCACTGCTGTATCAACAGTATGAGGAGGAACAGACAATAAAACTACTAGAGAATGTGATCCTAAAAGACCCTCACAGCTCTTTCTTCAAAAGGAACATCTCACTAACCAACTTTCCCCTTCAGGGTACTCATCTCTTCCCTCCCTCCTACCACAAAGTTAGCTCCCTCCCTCTACCACGAAGTTAGCACCCTCCCTCTTAGCTTTCTTGTCTCCAGAACTCCCCACCTTGTCTCTCCAGGGAGAATTCCAGAAACCCCAAATTTCTCCAACCTCATTATGCATAACAATCCCTGGGTGGTGCGAAAGGTTAGCATGTTTAGCCACTAACCAAAAGATTGGAGGTTCAAGTTCACCCAGAGGAGTTTGGAAGAAAGGCCTGGTGATATACTTCAGAAAAACCAGCCATTGAAGATCCTCTGGAGCCAGTTCTACTCTGACACACATTGGTCACCATGAGTTGGAGTCAACTCAATGGCAACTAGATATTTTTTGTGATTGTTGTTAAGCACAACAACTCACTACTCTTTTTATCTTGGAGTTAACTCATCCTGGCCGTGTCTGGAAGGCAATCTTGAAACAGCCAAAATGCTCATCAAAGGTACTAAATAAATTTATTTCCACATGATCTGATCTTGTTAGTAAGACTTTTAAAACACTTACGACACAGGGTCTGCTCTTTCTGGAGGTGGTGCAACATTCATAAACATGGATGGCTCAATAATTTTCTGAAGAGGTTTTAACTGAAAGAAAAGAGAAGTATATTTTAATACTATTCAGTTACAATTCAGCTCATCCTAATACCCTCTCTACCACAGGACTTTGGAATAAACCTAAAATTGTTGGGAGCAACTGAACTGAAGGTCTCAGACTTGGGAGCAGTTTAACCAAAGGATTGCAACTAAACAGTTGTGGTCCAGAAAATCGGGCTGCTCCCAGGTCATTTTGCCCCCCTGAAGAACTTGCAGGGCTGCTTCGGGGGTCAGGGAACTTGCAAAGTTTTTCTTTGTATTACCTTCAGTTCAAGTCTGCAAAAACATCTTTTCCTATCTCTGTCTCCTTAGCAACCACAAGTTACATTCTTCTGATAAAGTCCTGCTTACTGCATGCATCAATAACACCAGATGTTATTCTTTGCCCTGCCCTCAACATCTCCTTTGATGTGTGTATATAATAAATGTGCTGAACATAGGTTGGAGTCACAGTATCTCAATTTTACTTGTTTCAATTGTGTGTCTTTCTTTTATTTCTAATATCCCATCGCCCCTACTCGGGTTTAATCTCTCCATGCGGGTCATGGAGTATAGCCACTTGTCAGACGTCGCATAAAATTACACAGATAAGGGAGGGAAATGAAGATAAGAAGGAATTACACAACTATTGGTCTCTACTCATATTGAACAAAAAAGAATGATGGAAACCAAAGCCTCAAACAAGAAACTAGTCCATGGGATTAATACCCAACATGAACCATGACCTCTTCTAACCTGAGACCAAATGAATCAGATGATGTCCAGCTACCACTACCAACCATTCTGACCAGGGACACTATAAAAGGTCCTGGATAGAATGGCAGAAAAATGTAGAACAAAACTCAAATCCTTAAAAAAAAATAAGTCCAGATATACTGGACTGTAGAAATTAGAAAACTTCCTAAGATTATTGCCCTGGAATGCGTTTTAAACATGAAAATGAAACCACTCCCACAGGTTACCTTTCAGCCCAATTACTGATTGGGTCATAAAATAATGTAACCTGTGAGTGTTGTGTTCCTTGACATAATCATCTAAATATCTACCATAGACCAAACATGAGAAGATAAGGGGGGACAAGGAAGCTAGATAAATGGAAGCCGAATAACCAAAATGGAATGCTAGCACATTGTAAAGAATGTAACCAAGGTCACTGAATGCTCTATAGAGAAATTGCTAAATGAGAAACTCATTTGCTATATAAACTTTCACCAAAACATGATAAAGCTTTTAAAAGAGCTAACATTTATTGAAAATTTATTATATGCCAAGCATTTTATACTTTCAATCTTATTTAATTCTTCCAATAATCTTAAGAGTTAGCTAACTGTGCCCATCTTACAGATGACACTGAATATTAGTAATTTGTTTAAGGCTACCATATAGGCTTGATGGTTAGGATTTGCATTAAGTTCTAACAGCCCTCAAAGACATGCTCTTTTTACAGTCTCATGGTGGGCAAGTAGGGGACGATATCACTGGTATTTAAGACCACCTGAAAAGTTCATATACACGATATTTCTTTAAGTATAATTTTTATTATATATCTTATTCTTTTTCATGCTTTAGCAGATTCTAACTAGGTATAAAGAAGCCTTGGGGATACAATGGTTAGTGGCTGTTTACTGAAACGTCTGTGGTTCAAACTCACCAGTAGCTCCATGGGAGAAAAGATCTAGCAATCTGCTCTCATACAGATTTATAGCCTTGGAAACCTAAGGGCAATTCTACTCTATCCTATGGTGGTGGTGGTGGCGGCTATGTGCTACCAAGTCGATTCTGACTCATATAGCAACCCTATATAGGGTTTCCAAGACTGGAAATCTTTATGGGAACAAAAAGCCTCATCTTTCCCCTGAGGTGTGTCTGGTAGAGCTCAACTACTGACTTTTCAGTTATCAGTCCAGCTTGTATTCCACTATGCTACCAGGGATCCTTACCTTATCCTATGTTGTTTTTAAGTGCCATCGAGTCAGTTCATAACAACTCTGTTCAGGGTTTCTGAGGAGTGGCTAGTGGATTTGAATCACCAACCTTATGATTCAAACCGACCTTCTTGTCCAGTGCTTCTTCCCATAGTGTCATACCAGTACTCCTATAGGGTTACTATAAGTCAGAATCTGCTCCACGGCACACACCACCACCATCTAAGTAACATAATACTTGTGCTGTTTTACCTGAAAAGGAGTATATCTCCCTAAGAATGGAATTGTTGCATGTCATATTATATGAGGGTGCTTTAAATACTTATTGGAAAAACTCTATTATCTTTCCATTTCAAATTTCCATGAACTTTTTGAAGTTCCCTTGTATTCAGACACAAAATTCATCTCTATAGCATTTAAGCTATGGCCATCACAAAAAAACTAAACAATTAGGGGTTCCTATATAGCTTACTTAACAAGGAGCTCTGGTAGCGTAGTGGTTATCAGTCAGACTGCTAACCTCAAGGTTGGTAGTTCGAAACTACCAGCCATTCAGCAGGAGAAAGATGAGGCTTTCTGCTCCTGCAAAGATTTACAGCCTTAGAAACCCTGTGCAGGGTCTCTATGAGTCGGAACCGACTCCACGGCACTTAACAACAACGATTTTAAGTCTTTGCCCTTCACAGCCCGATTCGTAACCACTACGATATATAGTATTGTTGTTGTTGTTATGTGCCGTGGAGTCGGCTCCTACTCATAGAGACCCTGTACAGGGTTTCCGAGGCTGTAAATCTTTACGGGAGCAGAACGCCTCATCTTTCTCCCGCGGAACAGCTGTTAGTTTCGAACTGCTGACCCTGAGGTTCGCAGCCCTATATATAATATAGGAGCTCTGAAAACAGTGGATTACCAGCTGAGCTGCTAACTGAAAGGTCAGAAGTTTAAATTTACCAGCCATTCCACAGAAGAAAGATAAAGCTTTCTGCTCCAGGGCAGACTTACAGCCTCAGAATCCCTATGAGTTTGAACCGACTCCATGGCACATAATCAACACCACCATATACAAAGTATAGAGCTCATTCTTATACCTGCATTGGACTGGATTTTAAAATGCCTCAAAGCTGTGATAATATGCAGAAATACCAAGAGATTGTATACTGGTACATTTCAAGAACAATTTGAAACGTTCTGGACAATAATTTGTCTACTAGGAATCTAACCGAAGAAGATAAAGAAATAAACCAAGGTGAGTATACAAAAATGTTTTACCACAACATGGATGTATGGTGATGAAATGAAAGGGGCAGGCCAAAACTAGGAATATACAGATATGTTCTTTAGGTATAGTACTGTCTTGATGAATCAAGAAGGGCCCAAATAATATCAAATACTGAAATTACTATGGGGAAAGGAGCATATAGTGTCACCGTATAAATTATTATCTGAATGACATCAGTGGTTCAATCTTTAAATTTTTCAGATTAAAAAAAATCCACATCCACTTCCTGAATACTTAAAATAATTTTGTCTTTAATTACATACACCTGTATGTATATTCACACATACATATGTGTATATATATATATATATATATACACACACACACGTAATTTTTATATGAAAGACATTTAAGACATTATTTTTGTAATGTATAGGCAAATAATGATAGTCTTATTTTTCTTTAGTCTGAAGAAAAAATAGTATTCTTCTTAAAATACTTATTTTTTGAAGAGCTTTGGAACTGACAAGGGTAGAGGCTCAGTGGTGGGCGATGTGCCTGAAGAACTATAATACAACAACTTTTAGAAAGAGAACTAACCTGATGTGAAAATCCAAAACCAAAGTTTCCATAGGAGAACATAAATTCGATCTCCAACCTGCAGATAAACTAAAAATGTGGACAGTTTACTGATACATTTAATCAGAGTAATTTTTTATTGTGAATTGGATGAAATTTCACAGAGCAAATCCTTTTCTAGTCAGCAATTCACACACAGTTTACTTCATCTCATTCATTGCAATTCCCACAATGAAGCATCATTTATCCCCTTCCTTCTTAATCAGAGTGACATTTTAGTGGAGAAGTGATGTTTTTATTTAACAAATCTATAGATTAGAAAAGTTGGACAAGAATCTCCTGATAGATAAAGTATTTACACAAGGAACTCCTATACAGTAATATATTAATTTCTGGTATGTTAACAAAATTTGTGTTATAGTTAAGAATATGATTAAAATACAGAAAATATCAACCTATAGTTAACATGATCACATCGAAATCTATTATATTCACATATGAATATGTAAAAAAAAAATGTTACTACAAAATCTTAGAAACCTTTGTTAAACAAAAATATCACAATGTGAACCATTTGTTTCTCTACATGTCCTCCATCTAGGTCTACACATTTCTGAAGGTGGTGTTTCTCTCTCTCTCTCATCTTTCCCCTAATAATTCAACATTCTTTGATTGACACTGTCACAGTGGCAGTTTGGGCATCCTTAGAGATGCAAATCTCATTCCTCTTAAGTGTTCTTTGAGATCTGGGAACAAAAAGAAGTCTGAAGGAGTGTGATCAGGACTGGAGGGTAGATGGGGAAATTCTCAAGGCAATTCTCATAGGACAACACTTGTTAACCACAAACCATGACCAGGTGCATTGTTTTGTTGAACATTTTTTTCTCACAGCTACTTTCCTGGCTTTTTTCTCACCAGTGCAGTTTTCAGTTTTCTTAAAACATCTTCCTAATATGTTTCCATGACCATACTATGTCCTCTGAGAAAATCTATCAAGATTATCCCTTTGGAATCTCAAACAACAGTCGCCATCACCTTCTGAGATGACCTCTCTGCTTTGAATTTAACTGGACAAGCATGTTCCCTTGGAAGCTACTGTTTTGATTGGATCTTTTCTTAAAAGGCACCTGATGGATTACAAATTGGGCTGCTAACCACAAGGTCAGCAGATTGAATCTACCAGCCACTCTATGGGAGAAAGATGAGGCCTTTCTGCTCCTGTTAAAATTTACAACTTGGAAACCTTATGCATGGTCACTATGAGTCAGAACCCACTCCACAGCACACAACCACCACTACCACCACCAAGACTAAGGCAACTTGTCTGCAGCCATTCACTGATCACGTTGTTTTTCGTTGTTGTTATGTGCCGTCAAGTTGGTTTTGACTCAGAGCAACCCTGTATAGGGTTTCTGAGGCGTGGCTGGTGAGCTTGAACCACCGACCTTGCAGTTAAAACCAACTTTGCAGTCCAGCGTATTAACCCACAGCATCATACCAGGACTCCATGAACTGATCATACAAACGTTTAAATACATTTTGTTTGGAATAAACCTGTACATGTATGAACTGGAACCATAGTAGCAATACATTTTTTAAAAACTTATCCTTATATATATGTGTATTTGAGACTATATGTATATGCATATTGTATATACATATATATATAAATATTTACCCACATTCCTGCTATTTAAGATAAAAATTTGATTTAACTCATCAAAGTGACTTTACCTCTCTGACCCCCAAGTTCCTCATATGTGAAATGAAGGTGGGTGTCTAAGGAGCTCTGGTAGCGTAGTGGTTACGAATCGGGCTGCGAACCGCAAGGTCAGCAGTTCAAAACTATCAGCTGTTCCGCAGGAGAAAGATGAGGCTTTCTGTTCCCATAAAGATTTTCAACCTCAGAAACCCTGTACAGGGTTGCTATGAGTCGGAACCGACTCCACGGCACATAACAACTTGTTTGAATAGTAGTTTAATTAATCAAACTAAGAATTTTTAGAAGAACCTTGGTGACATAGTGCCCAAGAGTTGGGCTGTTAACTCAGAGGTCAGCAGTTTGTACCCACCAGCCTATTTTCATAAGTAATACGTGGCAGTCTGCATCAATACAGATTATAGCCTTGGAAATTCCATAGAGGCAGTTCTACCCTGTCCTTTCGAGTTGCTATGACTCAGAATCCACTCAATGGCACCTAACAACAATACTTTTTAATTCCTTTAAAATAAATGAGTGGAATTCTGGGAAGATAGCAGTGTAAAGAAACCATTGTTCTGATTCTCTCCCAAAAACAAAACAAGAAACACAAGAAAATGTTTTTGACTTTGAGGGACTCTGAATCACGGAATAGAGGATAGCAGCAAAGAAGTGAAGACTGGCAAGAATCAATGAATCAAAAACAAGTCACAGAAAACATCAAGGCAAGTGGTCGGGGCCCCTCACAGGACACCCCCTTCCAAGACTAAGACTCAATGGGATTACACGCTCTGATTGGTGACCACGCTCGACACCGATAAGGGGAAGTGAGGGAAAAACAGCAATGAAGCGGTGAGCTAAGCCCTACAACGTTCAATAGACTTCTGTGAACCTGGGTGAAGACCTGGTTGGCCAGCAGTGTGGCAAGACCTGGGGACGCTTGGGCCCAGAGTCAGTGACATAGCCACAGAGGACTAGAGTGGAGAATGAAGCGTCCAGCTGATAAGAGAGGGCATATGCATAAGAACACCCACACTTGCAGATAATACCTACTTGTTCCGGCTTTGATGACTGGATGATCGGAGTTCAACCAGAAGTAAAAAGAAGAGGGAAAAAAAAAAAAAAATCTCATACAATTTGATGAACTTGACCTACACCTATGGAAGCAGAAGCAGTAGCTCAAAAGAGGGAACAAGTCCTTACAGCAAGAATCATTCCCACCCCCTCCACACACAGAGTAGACAGGGATGGGCAACTTGGACATTGGCTACCCAAAATGGGGGGTGGGGGCTACAAAGGCAAGAAGTGACTGGCTTACAAGCTTTCAAGAGGGAACCTAGACCCAGAGGGCCTGGAGGAAGGTAGAATCTCCAGTGAGTAGTATTCAATCTGACTAGGCAGGGCTGATGCAATGAAATGCAGATGGGTCTCTTGTGATACAATAGTGAATAATTGTTATCAGGACTGTTTGTGAGGGTCGGAAATGTAAAGGTAGACGTTTTATAGCAAGGAGGGGAGTGATTAACTTTACAGTCTAGGAGTGGAGGTCCCTAGGACCATCAAGGGAGAAGAGCAGAGAGCGGGACCCTACCCAGAGAAGCAGTGATGCCTGAAATGGAGCCAGAGATGATGATGTGGAGCTATGGAGCAGCTGGAGACTCTAGATCCAGAGAGGGAGAGCGACTGTGTGCTGAAGACCTGGGGGGTATGGGGGAAGGATTGCATGGAGGGGATTGTAACCATGGCAATGAGATGATATACGATAGAATGAATGTAAAACTAATGTTCTCCAATGTAAACTATCACATAATTCACAATAAATCATTTAAGAAAAAAAAAAAAAGTCACATATGATAGCAAAATACTTCTCCCACCGTGTCTGCCCCTCCAGTAGCCACACAGGTCACCTGCTGCTGTGAACTAAGTGTGCTGTCCTAACCACCATAAACCAAAGCTTCTGCTCTAATGTCAACAAGGCAGACCTTTGACGTATGCCACACCGCCCCCACCTGGACACTGATGGCTGCAAGCCTACTCTGAATTTCTACAGAAGGTTCCCTGTACTGGAGTCGGCTCTGATAGTCAATACTCTACCTGTTTACTAAGAAGCTGACATCTTGAGTACTTTGGGATGGGAGTGGGAAGGGCTCTGATAGACTGTAACAAGGCAGCCCTCCCTGGAGGTCCTTGGCAGCGCGGTAACTCCTCCCTGACCAGGATGCTGGCACCTACAAGCCTGATCAGGATTGCTACAGAAGGCCCTGCAGTGGAGCTCCTCTAGTCAGCACTCTACCTGCCTCCCAGTGGCTCTGGCCTCTGAATCCAATAGGAAAAACCTTCCTGTGGAACAATTACGGTTAATCTGTCACTTGCCCCTGCAACAAGCCCCCACCCCCACTCTGCTTCCAATTGACACTAAGGATAGCTAAATGAGATTGTTGTGTGTTAGGGAGCAGAAGACTTATGTGGAGGCTGTACTTAAGCTAACGATCTTCTAGGGGAACTTTGGCAGCCACAAGGTCAACCTCCAAGGGGTCTGTTCAAAGCATGACACCCTTCCCCACCTGGTAACCGTTGACTGCCAGGCTATTGTAAACTGCTGCAGAAGGCTGCTCCCATAGTCAACACTTGACCTTCCTCCCTGTACACTCCACAGCTCAGGCCTCTGAATCCAGCAAGATAGAACTCCCTGTAGATCAGCTGGGCCTGTCTGCTTCCCTTTCCAGTTGGTGCTGAGGACTGCTGACTGAGGCTGCTGTGTGCTAGGAAGCAGTCATCTTGAGTGGAGGCTAGACCTGCAAGTAACATCTCTGGGACAGGCTCCGAGAGCAACAAGGTGGACCTCTCAACATTTGGGGTGTGACTACCATTCTCCCAACTGATGCCTGTTGGCTGCTGGATAGATATGAACTCTTACAGAAAGTTACCTACAGTTGAGTCAGGAAGTGCATCACTTAAACGGAGACTGTTCCCTCAACCACCACAAGGTCACTGGAGCGCTGAAGCCAACAAGATACCTTCTGGAGATCCTTCTCAGGAGTGCCAGTCCCTCCTTCTTCTGAAATGGAGGAAAGTCTGCCTGTGCTTACCCTGAATGTCAGCTCCCCAAATAGCATGAAATGAAACCTTGGACAAAATTGGAAAGTAACAACCAACCCCAACAGGATTCCACTGTGTGTGGGTTTTCTGATGAAAAACTTGATTGCACAAAAAGAGACGAAAATGAAGTAATAGCCAAAGAGTGGGGACTATGCATCCTGGTGAGCAGATTGACTAGCACACACTAGCTCACTTGTGTGGTGAGGCCTGCTGGTGGACAGACTGACCACACAGCATGTCTTCTGGTGTTTGGGGGAGAGACTAAAAGTTGGAAAATGAGTTCTGGACTGGA